TTTCAGGTTCTTCCTATTTCAAAATTATAGTTTTCTTGCATATATTCTTACATATTTTCTATTATTTCTTATTATTTTTTCATTTCTAACCAGAGGTCAACTAACGGAGATTATTTATACGGTTTCGCTTGTAAATCTTTGACCTTTAATTATAAATTATTTAGAATCTCATACTTTTACTAGTTAATTTTTCTTCGACAATTTTGTGTTTATTTTAAATTTAATCGGGAGTTTTTGAGTAATCAAAACTCTTATATTTTCACTACGCACTACTTTATATATACAACCTAGGAAAAATGAAAAAAAAAAAAATTCGCACCTGGCAATTCCTGTTGTATATGCTCTATGGTCTACGCGCATGCGTCAAACTAAGCTCTTCCATATACTTTCCTGACCTGACAAGGAAAACATCTTTAGTTTCTCGAATATATATATTGATGAAAGTGATGTGTGCATGTTAATATGTATGGATAAAGAAGATGATATGTAGCAATTAGCTACGAACAGTGTGAGTTTCGATATGGTGCCACCTCTCAAGGGGGCATGGCTAGCCCTTGATTTGCACGCTTCAGAAATTGATGCAGGGTGTGCGTACCATATCATTCAAGGGGAAAAGCGATTATAAGGACACTGTCCATGAATAATAATGCAATCAAATAACCAAGCCTTTTCTGGCTTCTCTGATCTTGGACCACAGTAGAAATCAAAATGCTCATGATATGAGTCTTGACAAATTTAACATCACACAACCGATCAGTCGAAAAATCCAAGCATTCATGCATGCATTGCCAGATTCATCAAAGTTGCCATGTATAAAGGTGCAACGTGTTTCGTGATTAAATTAACCATGTTCGTTTTTTTCTTCATTTAATTCGTCTCCTTTTACATTTTTATATTTTTTTAGAGAACATATATAAGGTATCATTTTAGTAAAAATCACTGAAATAAAATCAATGGCTGCTTAGGATTTTTATTTATCCATGAACATTAGTGGGTACTTTATTATTCAAACATGATACAAGTAATTATATACTAAAGAATAATATAAATTATATCTTAAAATTTTATTTAATAACTTAAATTTTTAAGTTGAATTAGTTATTTGATACTATATAATTTAAAAATAAAATATAATCTAACAGTAAGTATAATTAATATGGTATTTCATATTTTATAATCAAGTAACTTTAATTTTTAATAAGAATTTTAATCTATAAAAACTCATGATTATTTGATCATTAAAACTCTGATATTTTTTGTTAAGAAATCAACGTAACTTAAAAATTTAAGCTATTATAAATGAAATCTCAAAAAATAATTTATATTATTTTCTAATAGGTCCAACATATCTAAAGACATCATGTCTCTTCTTTCTCTTGAGCTAACAAAGGTTACCTAACTAAGAAAAATTGATTTTAGGGCTTATGATTGTTGTATTAATCTATTAATAAAAAATTTAAACTCAATCTTTTGATTAACTATATATGTTTTTTTAAAAATTTTAAATTAAAAACTTTAGAAAAATTATAACACACCATACTAATGTGAAGTGTACTTTTAAAATTATACATATAAAAAACTAGTCTCGGTTGACCCATAAAATAACCCAAAAATATCTTTAATCATGACTAAAAGCTATCCATTAAGCAAAATATATAAAGTAGTTGTTACCTATTTTGAAGCCCCATATAAACAAAAAAAAAAGGAGAAAACAAAAAAAAAACAAAAATATATATCAATGAGAAGAATATAATAGAATGCTCAGAAAATTTACAAAAATTGGTTGAGGCAAATTAAATATACAACATTGAAAAATTTGACAATGTATTCTCAACTAATGAAGATCTTATTGAGAAAGAAAAATTCAATTTAAGGAGAAAAATTAAAAAAAATAAGAATTTATTGAGAGCTTAATTATAAAAAAATAATTTTTGAAGTCAATGTAGACTTTAATTGGAAAAAACTAAAGTTTAGAAGTTAAATTATAATTTTAAAGAATTAATTTGATCAAATCAAATATATAATTGCATAAACATTAAAATTTTACGCGTAATTAAGAACTTGATTGAAGAAATTCAAAATTAAGAACCATATCAGGGGCCATATTCAATAAGTTTTGAGTTTTTATGTTTTTTTAGATGTATAATATGTTTTTTTGACTTTGTTTTGTATTCGGGTCAAATCAAGATTTTTGATTTGGTTTATTATCGAACAAAAAATTTCAAGTCACCCTATCCAGTCAAGTTATAAAAAAAAGGATAAAGGGTTTAAAATCCTATTTGGTTTGGTTTACGGGTGTATATTATAAAAACTTTTTAAGGTTAATTTTGGTAATTTTATTTTAAAAAATGAGTTTTAACCAAAAAAAGCCTATAAAATAAAAAAATAGAAAAAAATTATTTTTTTGTGTATATGGCTAAAAATCCTAAATTTATTTAGGTATTTTTTTTAAAAAAATCTAAAATTCTTTTATATGTTTTGTTTTTTAAAAAATGCATGGATTTTACAACAAGTTGGTAAAATTCCAAAGGATTTTTGCCTATATTTTAAAAATATCAAAAAAAAATATTTTTTTATTTTAATATGTGAGATTATGAATTTATATACAAGATAACTTTCTAATATTAAATAAAAAGACAATTTATTTTATTTTTTTATATTATCATTAGAATAATTAGGTTTTTATCTTAATAAGATAATAATCTTTTTATTAAAAATAACTTTTCTTAAACCCTAAGTGGACTAATCATTAGAAAACATAACATTAATTTAGTTTACATAAGACAATTAAATATTATAATTTATTTCAAGAAAAATGCATTTGAGGTATCAATACATTCCAGATTTTTACTTGTACAATCAATCTCCTTTCTTAACTAATTTATGACTTCTATTTTTATGAATAAAAAATATTTTTTTTAATCTTCTTTACCCATATAATTCCCTACCATCTACAAGTTCAGCAAAACGTGTATCTTATTAAAAAAGAAATATATTCCAATCCATACACAAGTGTTTATAAAAGTCCTTGATTAGCGCCTTAGTAAGTGATAAATTTTGATTAAAGTAGTTTTAAGGGCCAATTCAGTTTAGGAACACAGTATAAGCTATATTTTTTTTAAAATTTTAATTTTAATTTTTGTTAAAATTTATTTTTATATGTTTTATTGTTTTGATTTTTTAATATTAAAAATATTTTTTAAAAAAATAAAAAAATTAATATTTTAATTTATTAATGAAAAAAATATTTTAAACTACAACAACTACTGTACAATCTCAAATACACAATGTTAGACTAATCATCCAATTGATAAATAAGTGATGTCTAAATGTGGAGAGATTAAAACGAATTTATGTGATGAAATTACATGACTCCATTCCACGAATCCTCAGGAACAATAAATACCCATAAAGTTTTATATATTTCAGCAATGCCCCTTTTAGCGATCGTGAAGTATCATTCTTGACTAATTCGATCTCGTCATGCAAGGCACAATTTGACTTCTATTCTTTGATTCAGGAAAAAAACAAAGAAGAGAAAAGGAGTTTACTAATTAGTGCTTCTTTATTTGGTTAGTAGTGTGATCGATATTGCGATGCTATGCATGAACTTTTCAATTACAGTCAGAATTCCATTTTATAGGATGTGACAAGAATCTGGTAATTAAGATTTTGTTGTCGAACGAATTGATTGGAATATTGAAAATGATTTACCTATTTAATTTATAGGATTTTAATTAAAATAAATATCACAAGAATAGATTGAGTGAATTATGTGGAACTAGAAATAGGTTTTCTAATATTTTTAAAAACACGACAGAACATATACTTTTGAGTCTAAAATACTAAAGTCAAATCAATAGTTTTTTTTCTTTCTATAAACATGAAAAACTAACTTTTAATGGTATATTAGTCTTAAAAAACTCACTAAAGTAAATATTATGATAGATGGCAGACAGATTCCTATAATTGACTTACTGTATGTGTGTGTCTATATATTTAGCATTTTTTTTAAAAAAATTAATTGGAATTGTGGTTCGTACTAAGGCTTAATGGCTTTTAAAATAAATATTTTATGTTGGTAAAGTTCTATCATGAGTAATTGCTTATAAAATTGATATGATTGTTTGTTTTAATCTAAATCTTGGTATTTAGAATTTTACTGTATTTCGACAAATCGGGTCGAATAACCTGCTAAAATATAAAACTTTTCTAATAATAATGTATTTTATACAAAAAAAAACTTGAACTTAAAATTTTATTTAAAGAAAATAAATACAGAACTATTTAAATTCATGACTATTTATTGGATATACCTCTGAAGATATTCGGTAGTATATCAATTGATTAATGTTTTTAATATTCCGCTTTACAACAGCGATGGTGGAAATGTAGGAGACGCGCCAGAGTAGAAATTACATGATTTACGTGATTCCTCAAACAACCTCCTCGGTGCACGCATCCGGCGAAACACTGTGGGGGAGCCGTGTGGGCTTGGGGACCAACTATTTCCTCACTCGTGGTTGTTGGATGTGAATGGCAATACAAGAAAAGTATAAAGGGCACGGTGACAAGAATCTACGTTAATAGGCGACCCAAAGAAAAAAAGAAACCACTAAAAAGTTTGCATGCAAGAATAATAGTAAAAAAGAAAAACCGCTGCAGACAAACCCAAGAACATAAAGGCAAATTCGACAGTGACACTTCCAGCAAGGATGCCCTTACCAAGACCTGCTTTTCCTAGCTTTTTAGTTCTGTGATATTTTAATTATTATATTTAAGTAAAAAAGGATATAATACAACATGAAACTTCGCTTAGGGTTCCTCTCTCACTCTCTGCATGGCCACTAATCACTTTACATTTGTGGGGTGATCAGCAGAGGGACACTGTAAATTAAAAGCGCATAGTGTCAAAAGAAGCTTACAGGTTAAGATAAGAAAATTAATTTCATTGCATTGAAACCCTAACCTTGATTTATTTAAGAAATTTAATAAAACAAAAGGAGAGAATTTCGTGGAGGGAGATGGTTAAAAATTAAAATAAATAAACACACAGAACCCTCCTTTATCTTTCCATCTCCTTCTCTTTTTCTCTGCAACTCCCTTCCCTTGATGTGATTCTCCACCATATCTCCCAAAAAAGAACCCTATCGACCTTTACAAAAGAGAGAATTAAAGCTCAAGCACCATGGTCTTCTCATCCATTCCAGCCTATCTAGGTTCACGCAATTGGCAACAGGTAGGAGATTTTTTCCCTCTTAATTTTCTCTCTACTTGCAACAGACTATATAGCTTCCTCTCCAAAAAAGCAATTCCAAAGATAAATAATATTCCTGTCCTCCACCTTTTATTTTATGTATCTCCTCTTGAATATACTAAATATTTGATTTCTTTCTTCCTCTCTTTATTTTTGATCGTTTGCAGCAACCTAATAACCAACCTCCAGGAGCTGGATATGAAAACCCTCAACTTCCACCTCAGCCGGCACCACCTCCAAGTGGTGGCTATGGTGATGGAAGCACAGGTTCAATCAGGCCTGGCTCGATGAGTGATCGAGCCAGGGTAGCCAAGACTCAACTACCTGAAACAGCCCTTAAATGTCCAAGATGTGAATCAACAAATACCAAATTTTGTTACTTCAATAATTATAGCCTCTCCCAGCCTCGCCACTTTTGCAAGACTTGCAGGCGATATTGGACTAGTGGAGGTGCACTAAGGAACGTGCCTGTTGGCGGTGGCTGTAGAAGGAATAAAAGGAGCAAAGGAAGCGGTAGATCAAAATTTCCAATTAAAGCAGTCTCTAGCTCAGGTGGCGGACTTGCTTCTAATTTTTGCACTGCTGATATTCTAGGGCACATGCCCCCTCCACTGCCACAGCTACAGATCTTGCCACCGTTGCATCATCTTGGTGACTTCAATTCCGCAGGTATTGGGTTAGATTTTGGTGGAATTCAGCATTCAATAGGGGTAACAGCTGGTGGAGGTGATGGCGTAGAATTTCAGATTGGCAGCAGTACTAGTTCAAATGGTGTTGCTGGGTCTATTTTATCTAGTGGGCTAGTTGAGCAGTGGAGATTGCAACAAGTTCATCAACAAGTGCAGCAATTTCCCTTCTTGTCTAATATGGAACCACCGAGTGGTTTGTTTTCATTTGAGGGTGGAGGAATTGAATCATCAAATTATGCCGATCAGATTCGGTCCAAGCCGTTGGACACTACTGGGGCTACTCACCTAGCTACAGTCAAAACGGAAGAGAATCAAAGGCTGAATTTATCGAAAAAAGTTTTGGGTATCTCAGGAATTGATCAACACTGGGGTGGAAACAATGCATGGACTGATCTTCCTGGTTTCACTTCTTCTACAAGCCATCTATTATGATTTTGATGTGTTTTTCTGTCAAAAACTCCACCCAATCTTGGTGTTTTCTATTGTACTACCACAGGTTCAGTGAAGACTGGTAATCAGCTTGAAGATAAAAGAGAACTTTCAAGTTTCAATCAATTATCCTAACTTCGCAAGTTCAATTACTAAAATCTTTAAGTTGAGCCACGTAAAGGATGGATCAAAGAACTTGTCTACTCGCGATCTACTGAATTCGAGAACTTGGAAATGGTAGGCCTCTAGTCTTGAAGTTTATTTTTCTGCTGGCATCTTTTTCCTTGTATTCTATGGGATTATGTTACAAATTTAGGGTATATGTTTCCATGGAGTTGGATATCTGACATGAAGCGCTTAAATTATTACAATTGGCCTATCTATATATGCAGTGTACTAAGGTATTTTCCTTGAGATGATATGTGATTTTTTTTTCTTTATTTTGCACAATTCCTTCTTCTTTCAATATCTGAAAATTGTTTTTTCTTCTCTCTAGATCTTTAGTATTATCGCCGAATTTTGTAAGCTAATGTGTTCATGGTATTCCTTCCTTAATGATGATCAGTATTATTTGCATCATGTCCATGCACCCTTGTCGTCGTGATAAAGTTTCTTTAATCAAATCCATCTTTAATTCTAAAAGGAAATCATCATGATGATATCCCAAATTAAACTCAGATAGTTTTTGGGTAATAGCTAATTAGGATGTTCAGGTAAATAGTTTGCGGGTAATGGTAATTACCTGGATTTTGAGAAAATGAGTAAGTGGGTGTTAAGAGGGAGGGAGGGAGGGAAGCATGATATTATTTTGGAAGGTTTTGGACGTACTTGACTGAAAATGATTATATAATTATGGGTGATTCGCCAAATGAGAAGTACTTGTTGTATCGGTGCCTGCTAGAAACTCTGAGTGGTAGAGCTGGATATATATACATGGACAAGAAGAAGCTAAAGAAACGCCAAAATTCCACTCAAATCCATGCATAGACACCCTATCTAGAATAGGATTCCCGGATCTTGTTCGCAAAAAACTAACGTAAGACTACTGCAGTTTCTAGGCTCTAGACAGAGTCAAAAGTTGTGCAAGAATGCACAAAAACTGCTAGACCTTCTTCAAATTTTGTTTACCTTATTGATTGCATTGTTTAATATATATATATATATATATTCTCATGCTGATAATCTCAGCCTTGTTTTATGGGGATTATGATTGTCATTATTAAAAATCTTTGTTGGGTTTTCATCTTAGTGTAAGAGATATTTAGAATATTGGAATCTGGGATTTGGATCTGCTTTTGCAATAACCAATGATATTTACCAACAAGGAATAAAGGCATCCCTAATATGTTAAAAAAGGCAAATAATCACTCTATCTCTCTCTCTCTCATGAGATTGAAACAGTGATCGAGGATGTGGGGTATTTTTGGTCGGTTGAATGTGAGGTATATTGATGAGATAGTGATGATCCCAACATTCTCGATAGTAATGTTGCTAAGTGAGGATGTAGCTTAAAGAGAAGAAAAAAAAAACAAAAACATAAGAACAAGAAGAAGGAGCTCGGAAATCCAAGCGATGACATGTAGGATTAACCTTTTTGTTGATGCCACATGTAATGTTAAAATTTACCGATAAAAATATTAACATAGTATTTTAAATATTTTTATTGATAAAAATATTAACATAATATTTTTATATTAACATAGTATTTTAAATATTTTTATCTATATTTATTAATTTTTTAGTAATGATAAATATAAATATAATTTTTTTTAAAAGAACCCTAGTAAAAAAACGATAAATGTTGAACATTCATATTCGTGAAGGTTGCGCTATTCTCCAAGAGCGCAACATTCGTGATTTTTTTTATGTTTTAAAGATAAAATAATATTGAAAATGGACTCAGTGATTCGAGACCCGATTTGAAATTAAGTTAACCAAATATAGGTTTAGAAAAATAAAGGTATGAAAAAAACCGTACATACCTCACAATGCTTGTTCGTAAAAATAATAAACACTAAAAGACAAAGATAAGGACATCAACAGTTTGTTGTCTTCATCTCAAAACTTAACTTCATGGTATTGTTTATACAATAAGTAGAACAAAAGAGTTGTGTGGTAAATAAATTAGACCAGTATGCTCACTTAGAGGTTTTGATATAGAGGGGAAGATAGAGATGGCAAGGTGAACCCACACACGATTGAAAGATAGAGACATGACATTTTGGTAATAAAAAATAAAAAGTTAGTTACACAATTCTAGATTAAAGTGACATACCAAAAGATGGTGGACTAAATCAATATTGTTTTTAATTTTATTTTTATAAAAAAATTGTATATCTTAAGATTAATTAGTTAATTTTGAATTAATTAAAACTAAGTCATTCAAGTCAACTGAGCTTACATTAAATTTAATCGAGTTAACTTCTCAGTTGGTTTAAATTTGCAACCTGTATAATTATTATTTTTTTAATTTTTGAGGTTGTAATATTAAAAACAACACAACCTCAAAAAATTATATAGCTTGCATTTTCAAACAACACAACTAGCATATGAAAAGAAATAGGTTGTGTTATAATTATGAATATATGATATTTCTCTTAAACTTTTCTAGATTATGTTGTTTCATAAAAAAACATTATGTAATTGAGATGCCATATTGCTAATACTTTCACTATCTTTCTGTCTCCCTTACGAGTCTCTAAGATTTTGATCTATGCTAGCTTTTTTGTTACTAACCCTTTTTGTTTTTATATTCTTCCATGAGTGTTGAATCATGAAATGTGTTAGATTCTTAATTGCTTGGTCATTTCTAGATGTTCATTTCATAACCCTTTTTGTCCTTATGTTCTTCCATGTAGCCCTTTTAGTTTTTATATTACTTTAATTTCTTTTATTTTAAGAGGATTGATCGCGTAAAAGAAAGCTACTAGTATTTTTACCACATCTTATCTAGGTAATCTGAATTGTTTATTTGTTTGATATAAATTAATATATTATTGTGTTTTCTAATCATTGGTTTATTTAGAGTTTAAGAAAAATTCTTCTTAGTAAAGAAGTCTTTATATTCTCAAGTTAAAACCTAATTATTCTAATGGTAAAACATAAAAAAATGAATTGTTTTTTATTTAATATCAAGAATATATCTTATATGTAAGTTTATAATCTCGTATGTTAAAAGAAATAAAATAATTTTTTTTCATATTTTTGAAATGTAGGCCAAGTTCTAACAAATAATCATAAACTAATTATGATATCCTTTAACTAATTCTTGTTTTTTTTTCAAGTATAGTAAAAATGCATATTTAAAAAAAATTTAAAAGTAAAATAAGCATGGAATTTTTAGAATTTTTCCACACATAAGGAAAAAAAAATACTTTTGTTATAAAAAATATTACAAGCCAAACAAGGTCTTAACCTTTTCACCTAACCGAGTCGATATGAAATTATTTGTTTGACTATAAATTGTACTAAACATTCTAGTATGACGCGAAAAAAACCCTAAAACAAAACCAAAGTAAAAAATAGATAAAAGAAAATTATAACAATTCAAAAAATCTTGAACAAAATGGATAAAAAAAATAAAAAACACGGAGAACACTAAACCCAAACCCAAAAATATGGGTTTGAAATCAGACCTAATATGAACAAATCAGGAATATAAACATGTTAGAAATCATGCAATAATCAATAATCTAGCATCTATTCACTTTTATTATCACTTAAACATCACAATTTATTAAAATAGGTTTTAGTTCAAAATCAAGATTCTAGGATTAAACCCCATTAAAAACTTATTATTAATACAAATAAACCTATATTATTTATTAGTCAGGCATAAGGAAAAGTTATGTGCAGGGAAATGGACCAAAATTTGTCCAAATAAAGAGCTAAGACAATGTTCTTTCTAAGAACATGAAGAATTTGACCCATAACCCCAGCTATGAACCTAGCATAGGTAGCCATTATCAAGTCTTGAAAATAACATTTTTCATTTCTAAAACATGCTTTCTTTAACACAATAAGTCATGTTGCCATAAACAAATATGTTTAAATTATAAAGACTAATAAATAATATTAAAATATCAAAATCAAGCATGAGGTTTTAAAACCAAAAATCATCAACTTAAAACACTCTACATACTCATGCAATATGGATTAAAAATAAATTTTTTTAAATTCATTGTGTGCATGATCAAACCTAGCAAACCCAAAATAAATATTTTCACTTTAATATGCATTGTTTAACTTAAATTAAAACAACATTATATTAAAAACAACAAAAAAACTTCAAAAAGAACACAATAAATAAAGGTCACAACAACAAAGAGGTAAATATAACATCACTTGTTAAGTATTCCAAACTTCTTTTCTATACTTATAAACATAAATATAAAATTAAAAAACACCTCAAGTAGCCCATAAAAACCTCCTTTTAGATAAGAAAATGTGCATAGAACAACTAGTCTCTCATTTTGCTTTCATTTGAAAAGTTTTGTCTCTCACAAATTTACTATCCTTTAAATGCTTAGAAAATCTTTGCATTAGGCCCTTAAACTTTTACACTTAGGTTTTTTGTTGATATTTTCCTACTTTCCTCTCTCATCATATTCACGTGTCTTTTTCAGTTTGCTTTTTAGTTTTGAATTTTTTCAATTAAATCTTTAATTGTTTATCAAACTTCAATATTTATACAATTAAGTCTTTGATTTGAACAAATCAACTTTTAAAAATTACAATTCAACCTTAAGACTTTAATTTTTTCCAATTAAAACCTAGATTAACTTCAAAAATTAATTTTTCTAGCAAACAAACCATTAATAAATTTAATTAAATCTTAAGAAATTTTAATTGAGTATTTAAACATTTAATTTTAAAATTTTTTCTTTAAATTGAATTTTCTTGAAAGTTGATAGGATCTTCATTTATCAGTAAAAAATACACTATTAATTTTTTAATTTTGTATATTTTGATTTTTTTTTCAATCAATCTTCAACGATTTTTAAGGTGTTCTAGCATATTTTGTGATATATTTTTTATTTTCTTTCAATATTTTTTAATATTCATTTTTTTTCTTTTTACGTGAGACAAAAAAACAAAAAGAAAAGGAGAACAACAGTTTTGTTCGTGTCCGGGGCTAAAGATTTATTAGGTGATTGATTGATTATTCTTTTTTATCTTCTGTTACATCATCTACCACATAAAAGTTATTGGAATTTTGCGTAGAGAAGCACTAATTTTCATTCAAGCACAGTTTTGTAATGATTCTATATTGAGTCCTGCAATAATTAAGTAAAGAATCATGTCTTGACAAGGCAGAGATATGGAACGACATGGTTGACCAATCTCTTGAACGAGGACTCGTCTTTTCTGAATATGAGAAACATTTTTGTTTCTTCTTACACTTGTAGCTTGGTGATTAAACCCTCCTGATTTATAATTATCTTCA